TTTGTGGAATGCTCTCCCTGACCATCTACGGACTCCACAGACTGTCAATGCTTTTAAACGTGGCCTCAAAACCTACATTTTTAGCAAGGCCTTTGAATGATTCTTAATATTTTTTCTTGCTTTTAATATGTAGCACTTTGGGATTCTGTGTGAATTTAAAGGGTGTTATAAATAAAATTTATTATTTTTATTATTACTTCTTTTCTGTCTTTGTACCACCCTGGCTCTGACCTGGTCATATGTATTGTCTTCCTTTTCTGATGGTAAGATGTTCAGCTTTGTTCTCATGGGTCTTCCCCTCAAGAGTTGGAAAGGAGTCTCAACAATTGTAGCATGGGGTGTTGCTCTGTACCTCTGTAGCATGGTGACAGCTGCAGGTTTCCAAGGCTTGTGGGCCTTCTCTGCTGCTTGAATACACTCTTTCAGAACTCGGTTGAACCGTTCAATGGCACCATTAGATTGAGGGTGGTCAACACTTGTTTTTATTTGCTTTATTCCTTGTTCTCTCATGAAATCAGCAAAATCAGAAGAAGTAATCTGCAGACCATTGTCTGACGTAATGATGCAAGGGTTTCCCCTGCGTAGGAAGTGGACATGTTTTGGCTGACTTATCACTTGCCTGACAGGTCGTACAGGCTGACAATATCATGTTGACCAAGTCATCCATTCGCAGCCACCAATATAATTCCCCGAGTCGTTGTTTTTTGTGAACCAGACCCTGATGTCCCTCATGTGCAAGGAGAATGATTCTCTCTCTGAGTGATATCGGAAACCACCAGTCACTGCCCACGGAAAATCAATGGTGTCTCAACTGCCAGCTCATCTCGTATTGGAAAGTACAACCTTAGGTTAATGGAGATTGACTTTTTCAACTTTAGGCCAACCTGACCGAATTATCTGGTGCAACTGTGTCAGTTCATGACCGTCCTCACAAGCAGCTTTGAAATCTGCAAGTGGTAGTGCAGACCGAAAAGGAATTATTTCAGCAATCTTTAAGATTAAATCCTGTTCAGGGGTTTCAGCTGTCTGTATGATTTAGGGGTAGATGTGACAGACAATGTGCAGCATAATATTTACTTCCTGTTCAATGATTATATGATTGTGTTGTATAAATTATGTAATCGTTATGTATGTAGCGAATCAGCTCATGGGGAAATATGAATAATTAACCTACATTTTATGAACCTGTGAATTTGAGACTTTGCGTTTTACTGTAAATCTTTGCAACAATTATATATTTTACAGATTTTATATTTATAGATATAAATATATCAGATACCGGACATGGCCTGTAAAATTAATATATGCAATATAATATATATGCATATAAATTGATTAATATATATATATATATATGTGTGTGTGTGTGTGTGTGTGTGTGTATATATATATATATATATATATAATCGCGATTAATCATTTGACAGCACTAATATATATATATATATATATATATATCAATTAAATAAATACATTAAATAAATAAATGCACAAAATTTAAAAGAAGACATCGGATGACATTTTCACTTTTGTTAACTTTTATTTATTTATTTTATTTTATTTACTTTTTCTGGCATGTCTGCCAGCTCAGAAAAGCTGAAAAGAAAACACACATACAGCCCTGTGAAGTTAGTTTCATTGTTTCCCAAATTCTGTTTTATTTTATTTTCATTTAAATTTTTCTGGATTCCATTTTTTTCTATTTAACTTTTTAGACTCTGTTTTAATGGTTAAATAAAATGTATATTAATCAAAATAACATGTCTAATTAATCAAAGTCATGGAACTTACACAATTTAACCTCAATTTATGAAAAGTTTAAGTTTGGTTTTATTTTTACCAAATGCTGTGTTTAACATTAACTTTCTGGATTCCATTTTAATGGTCTCATTAAATTTTAATAATCAAAAGCATCTCTAATTAATTGATTTTATTAATGTGAAACTGACGTCACACCACGTTGAGTTCTGAGAAACTGCTTTGTTTAAGCCGCCATACTGAGAGGATCGCGCTGCCTCTCCGCTATTGAGTTCAGGGCAGTATTTTGATTTTCTGTCGTGATTGTGGACAATGTCACCATTGTTTGTCATTCATGCTGCATCGAGAATTGCAAAAGTAACTCTGATCATCATTCTGAGAGAAAACTGGGCAATGCAGTGTATTTTTTCGGTTTTATGTCTAAAAACCCCAAGGGAAGCAGGTCTCAGAAATGACAAGAAGAATCGATAGTAAATCTATTAATAATGTCACCGATTAAACCCACCGCCTGTCACTCAATACAATAATCATATTGCTGCGTGTTTTGATTTTGTTTGGTTTAATAATTAACATCACCTTCGCGAGTATTACTCTCCCTCGGCTTGTGAATTAGCAGAACTTGAAAAGGGACTTTAAAACGCTCAACACAAATAATGCTTAATGTGGCTTAATGTACCAAGACAATGATAAAGACAAAATTATAAAGCATATACTACGTGCAGATACGCACATAAGCGTATTGTAAAAGGGTTTCTGGTATGTGTAAGTTTGTGGGCTTACCATTGTGCAGAAGAGTAGAGTCTGTGGTCAGGAAGACAATTGGCCAAACACTGTTAAATTATGTTATTTTATTTAAAAAGTAATAGTAGTGCACTGTTTAGAACGGTGATAGTCTGTTCACTCAGTTCTTTATTATGAGCAGGTGTGCTTATGCTATTGTAAACTAGTTATATTTTAAAATATGAAATGTGTATATCATAAGTGGATCGTTAAATATTATAAATATATATTTCCATATATGTGTGTGTATATACTGGATGAATATTTGTTCAATATATTTTTACACATGCAATTCCATATCTTATTACATGTACATCTATACATTATAAAGTGTATTACTGAATATAAAATGACATATATTGTGATATATTAGTAAATACATTGTCACATATTTTTCAATATATGAAAAACGGAAATTCCTTATGTATTATTCAATGTATTGTAATATATTTACAAAATATATTATTCTGTTTAATTTCTAATATACCATTATGTCGTTTAATATATTGATCATTTATATATTAGGAAATATATTTTCTTTGCATAAGGGGAGATCAGGAGTTACTTTCAGTTTGGGGTGAAAGCTCCTACAATTCACACACATATACTGGTGTGCTGGTGTGCATTAGAGCCTTTAATTACCATTCTATATTAATGCACTGCTTACTGACACACACACACACACACACACACATCAGATATCGCGCAGCTCACACATCCAGGAGCAAAGAAACTTGTCAACGCTGTCCCACGACTTTTATTAATAACAGTTTAAATACTGAATCGCTACGTTATATTTTCCAGCAGCGAGAGGATAAAATCGCTGTATTTGAAGTAAACTCACCCTAAAAAGAGAAACGCACAAATGCGCACACACGCAACTTTCATCTCTCTCTCTCTCTCTCTCTCTCTCTCTCTCTCTCTCTCTCTCAAATTGGCAATATTTCAGAAAAGGGTTTAGGGATTTATAATTATTGGGGGTAATAGCCCTCCTCAATGTCTATGGTGGTTATTATCGCCCTGATCAGATATGAAAATAGCCTATGTTGTGGCACTATCGTGCAGTCTGTAATGATATGACGTTAGCAAACTTTAGCGATTTTTTGCAAACATTTCTTTGAGTAACATGACCATAAATATGAACTCACGATTGAAAGTAACATAAAACAAATGATTACTTTTCGTTAAAATCTTTATTAATGTCGATAATGCTTACATTTATGTGTCTTTTTGTTCGCTCGGACAGCCATGTTGCCGCTGTAGCCGGTTTATGCTGAGATAATTCATACCCCTTTGTTTAAAGTGTGGTCCCAAAAATCTTCGTTTGAAGGGCTATCTGGCCCTTCCCCTTACTCCTACCCCTCCAACCAATAGAGAATCGAGACACCCCTACCCCTTCACGTGAACGAGCAAAATGGAGGGGTAGGGGAAAGGTGAAGGGCTAAGGGGTAGAATTGGGATTGGGCCTAAATCTAAGTCACATCTAACCCAATGCCAAAGCAGAATCTCAGCCATGGAGCCATTCATAGGCAGGGAAACACACATTCATAATCCTTTGGATAATTTAGTGCCTTCAAGTATTTTAGTGTCTAAGATGTTTTTTGACTGTAAGGCAAGGCAAGGCAAGTTTATTTATATAGCACATTTGGTAACACAATGGTAATTCAAAGTGCTTTACTTAAAAGAAAAGAAAATGATAATAATAAAAACAAATAATCACAACAATAAACAAGGAATTTAAAAACTTTGAAAATGATTACAATATTGATTTAAGAAGTTTAAAATGAATTCAAAACAGTTAAGAATAAAAAAATGATTATACAAAATATATAGTGCAATCAGTTCGGACATTGCACAGTGCTCATTCAATAAATGCACAGCTAAAAAGATGAGTTTTGAGTCTGCATTGAAATGTGACTAATGTCCTAGCACATCTGATCTCTTCTGGAAGCTGATTCCAACTGCGGGCGGCATAATATCTAAAGGCGGACTCCCCTTGTTTTGTGTGAACCCTTGGTATTTCTAACTGACTCGATCCTAATGATCTGAGTGGTCTGTTAGGTTTATATTCAGTGAACATATCTGCTATCTATTTAGGTCCTAGGCCATTGAGTGATTTATAAACGAGTAAAAGTACTTCAAAATCAATCCTAAAAGTAACCGGAAGCCAGTGTAAGTACCTGAGGACTGGTGTGATATGCTCAGATTTTCTGGTTCTAGTCAGAATTCTGGCAGCAGCGTTCTGGATGAGCTGCAGCTGTCTAATTGTCTTCTTGTGAAGGCCGGTGAGAAGACCATTACAATAGTCCACCCTGCTGATGATAAAGTCTTGACTGGAAACAAAACATCTAATTCTTGCAATGTTTTTAAGATGATAGTATGCTGATTTAGTTACTGCTTTGACATGACTACTGAAACTAAGGTCTGTCTCCAGAATCACATCAATATTCCTGACTTGATTTTTAGTTGTTAGACCGCTAGAGACAAGGTATGCATTCACCTTGAGAACTTCATCTTTGTTTCCAAATGCAATGACTTCAGTTTTTCCTTGTTTAACTGAAGAAAGGTTCTGGCACATCCAACTGTTATTTCATCAATGCATTGGCAGAGGGAGTCCAATGGGGCTGTAGTCATTTGGCGATAAGGCTAGGTAAATCTGGTTATCCTCAGCATAGCTGTGATAGGCAATGTAGTTCTCTCTCATTATTTGACTTAGTGGGCGCATGTACAGGCTAAACAAGAGCAGTGCAAGAATTGAGCCTTGTGGGACTCCGCATGTCATGGATGTCCACTTAAGACTTAAGCTCTCCTATACTCACATAATTACCTCTCCCTTCTAAGTATGACCTGAACCATTTGATTACCATCCCAGAAAGCCCGACCCAGTTTTTCAGTCTCTCTAGTAGTATGTTATGATCGACAGTGTCAAACGCATCACTGAGATCTAGTAGTACCAGCATTGATATTTTGCCAGAATCAACATTTAAGCAAATATCATTTATTATCTTAATGAGCGCTGTCTCTGTGCTGTGATGCGGTCGGAAACCAGATTGAAAATTGTCCAGGCATCCATTTGAGTTTAAGTATTTGTTCAGCTGATTAAAGACTACCTTTTCAATAATCTTGCCTATAAAAGGAATATTTGATATTGGTCTATAGTTACTCAATATGGTGTTATAAAGATCAACAGTCTGCAGAAATGCGTGGTGTTAGAGATATAGCCTCCATAAATAGCACACTAGTGTTTTCGTTAATGCATCTCTTTCTGACAAATACAGATCTAGATTCATTGGTAGCAGAGATCAATATATCAAAGAAAATACAGAAGTGATCAGATAGTGCTACGTCCTTAATGACACTGGATGATATGTTTAGATCTCTACTGATGATTAAATCTAGAGTATGTCCATGATTGTCTGTGAGTCCATGCACATGCTGAATCAGGTCAAAAGTGTTTAAAACAGTTATAATGTCTGATTACTTTTCTTAGGGAATTAATTATTATTAATTCATTCAGGTTTTGAAAGGACTCGAATCTGAAAATTCGAAGTCCACCTGATTAGAACTGATTTCAAATTTTAATAGTTTACACCTTATCAACGGTCGTCCAGAGTGACGTTAATGTCCGTGTATCTTAACAATCTGACTATGTGTATTTTCCTTGGCCACAGGTCAATACAATTATGATAATTTGTAAGCTCCTAGCGAGGTAACGTGATCTTGGCAAGGTTTGACTTCAAAATTATACGACACCAGACAATGATTCTTTATAAATGAAACACGAATTTATTGGCTATTCTAAATTACATTGACCTAAGCTAAGACATACACACACACATATCAGTTCTGAAGAATTATGTTAACGGAGTTCTGAGGAAAGCCCAAAGTTTTAGCAAGATATTCGCTACAGTTCTCTTACTTGCAACCTGAGAAAATCACAAAGCAGAGGTTTGTCTTACGTTTACTGCTTAAATGGTTCAGCACCTATTTCAGCAGATAGATGACCTTGTTTGTACTTGCGTTTGGGTGATAGCTGAAAAGCTGAATGGTTCCTGATTTGGCTGCCTGAGGAAATTCCATTGCTGATTGGTTATTGAGATGATGTCAGGATGGCATCCCTTTGGGGAAGCCCTTTCTGGAGATTGGTTGGTTTCTTGATGACACAGAGGCTTGAGTAGTTCTGCTGAAAAAGTCTCTGTTTGCAAGACTTTAAGTTCTTTGAAATTCTCTGACGATCACAACGTTTCAACTGAAGTGTTTGAGTTTTAGATGACCTATCGCTTTGATGGTAAGCGTGTGAGCACGAGTTGGAATGCTCTTAACACGGCGAAAAGCGAAGAAGCAAGCAAGCAAGCCAGCGAGGGCTTTTGTGTCCATTTTTAAGCAGGCTGACTTTTGTCCATCCCACAGGTCGTTGTTCCAATCAGATAGTGGCTGCGGGCTTAGCCACGCCCTGTGTGGTTCCTTTTTCATGCAAAAGTCACATGCTGTTTGTGGGGAGTATTTCTGCAAGTTTGAAGAACTTCTTATAAAAATATCATCACCGGAAAATGATGCCGAATATCAATTTTTCACTCACACCAATGTTCTGTGAATAAAACAAGCTTTCACCCGATACTAAGCTTCACATATCTTACACACATATTACATGCTTTGTCTGCTAAAAAGAGTTATAAGGCAAATATTAAAATATCATAGATTCCAATAAACACATCAGATATATGTATACGGCATAACACATACAGTGGATACATTTTCACTACTTATGAGTTTTAAACGATTGTCTTTTAAAATCGTCATGCAAGGTTCTGTTTCTTTTGTTGTAAGATAAGTTTGTAAGGGTTTCAGAAAGGGCAGGAAGCAGATGGTCAAACGTCATGTGATAGTCACGCATAGATCCCGTGTTTGCAGGCCTGAGGGCGTCAGTTAATTTACTTCCTGTGCCTACACTGGTTCCATACATTAGTGATCACGAGGTATCTATATGTCGTGAAATAACTTTTCAGTCCTGATACAAAAGATATCTGTGTTATCTCCTGATTGGATTAGTTTCAACCTCATGATGGCTGATAGGGGGGAGATCTTTAGGTCCTTCTGTAATATTTCTGTTTCATGATTCACGTGGTAAATCCACAGCTTATGGGGGTCTGTTT